TTTTTTTTTTTTTTTTTTCTTCTTTTTTGGACCATTCTACTCTTAAATAATCACTTTTGCTGGCAATCCTCTGCAAGAAAGATCACAAAACACTTAAAGAGAATGTGTTTTATGATGTTCTATTGTCAAATGTATTAAGGGTGCTGGAAGATCATTTCCCTCAGTCATTGCTTAAGAATTAACAACGCTTCAGTTTTATAAATCACATTTAGGCAAAAGCCAAGAGGCAGAGAACGGGAGACTTGTTTTTGTTTTGTTTTAACCACTAGAGAGCTAATCTATGTCCTTATCCAACCACTATTGAAAAGAAATATGCTTCTCATTCTTATCTCCATCTTTACATGATGATGTTGTTGTTGTTGTTAGATGCCATTGAGTTGTCTCCGATTCATAGAGACCCTGTGCACAGCAGAACGAAACACTGCCCGGTCCTGCACCCTCCTCAAGATCCTTGCTGTACCTGAGCCCATCATTGTAGCCACTGTGCCTATCCATCTCATTGAGGGCCTTCCCCTTCCTTGTTGACCCTCCACTTTACCAAGCATGATATCCTTCCCCTGGGAATGGTCCCTTCTGACAACATGACCAAAGTAGGTAAGATGAAATTTGGCCATTCTCATTTCCAAGGAGCATTTGGCTGCACTTCTTCCAGGACAGATTTGTTCGTTCTTTCAGCAGTCCCTGGTACTCTCAGCATTCTTCGCCAACATCATAACTCAAAAGCAGCAGCTTTTCATCAGTCTTCCTTATTCATTGCCCAGCTCTCACATGTATAAGAGGCAACTGAAAATACCATGGCCTGGTTGGGTGCACCTTAGTCTTCAAGGAGGCATCTCTGCTTTTCAGCACTTGAAAGAAGTCTTTTGTAGCAGATCTGCCCAATGCAATACATCGTCTGATGTCTAGACATTGGTTTTAATTATAGAACTAGGTAATACAAAGTCCTTGACAACTTCAATGTTTTCTCCGTTTATCGTAATGCTGCTTATTAGTCCAGTTGTGAGGATGTCTGTTTTCTTTATATTGAAGTGTAGTTCATACTGCAGACTGTGGTCTTCAATCTTCATCAGTAAGAACTTCAAGTATCCTCACTTGCAGCAAGCAAAATTGTGTTGTCAGCATATCGCAGGCTGTTAATGAGTCTTTTTCCAATTCTGATGCCACATTCTCTTCATACAGTCCAGCTTCTTGGATTATTTGCTCAGCATACAGATTGAATAAGTATGGTGAAAGGATATGACCCCGACACACTCCCTTCTTGATTTTAAACCATGCAGTATCCCCCTGTTCTGTTTGAATGACAGCCTCCTAGTCTATGTACAGGTTCCTTATGAGTACATAAAGTATTCTGGAATTCCCGTTCTTTGTAATGTTATCCACAATTTGTTAAGATACACACAATCGAATGCTTTTGCATGGTCAATAAAACATAAGGAAGCATCTTTCTGGTATTCTTTGCTTTCAGCCAAGATCCATCTAACATCTTTAAATGACAGTGGGAAAAAAAAAAAAAAAAACCCACAACCCTTGCATTCTACAAGCTAGTGTCAATTAATTCATATTCCCAAAATATCATCACAAATGCCCATGCAAGTGACAAAATATGCCCCCTACAGAGTGACAGAGTAATTCCAGCCACTGCCTCGCCTAAAACAGAACTTGGCTAAAACAAGGCAATGATGCTATTTCGAGAACCTATATGCTGTCAGGAGAGACCAGCCCCTGTAAAAGGGTATCATGCTTGGTAAAGTAGAGAGTCAGCGACAAAGAGGAAGACCCTCAATGAGTTGGACCGACACAGTGGCTGCCACAGTGGGCTCAGACACAGCAACAACTGTGAGGGTGGCGCAGAGCCGGGCAGGGTTTCGTCCTGATGTACATGGGGTCAGTATGAGTCAGGAGCAACCCAGTGGCACCTGCCAACAACATATGATTCCTGACTGAGATCTCTACGGAATCTCTATCTCTCTCTAGTTTGAGAAACTGTGTGATTCTTGGTGAGAGTATATTGCCTCACAGATAATCTCAATAAACATAATGAGCTTCATGATGAATAGGCATTAACAAAAACAACCAAACAAAACTCTTAGCACAGCTAGAAAACTGAGCATTAAAACCTCCTTGTTTCAAAATTCAAACATCAAACTAATGCAACAGGAAGAGTGAACAGATCCGACAAGTTAGGTATGTTTGCTCTCCAAGCACTGCTCCTGGGCTATCAGCCATCAGGAACATCTCTCCCGGGGTCAGGAATTCCATAAAATGCCTCTACAGATTTTACCTCCTCATAAATCATCACCTCCATCTATTGTAACAGAGGGAAAAAGTCCCTGTGCCATTAAGATGAGAATGAAAATTTCATTAAAATTTTGCCTTCACCCAATCACAAGTTTATTAAACACAAGCACCTTTCCTGTTAATAACATTTGAAAAAAATCTACTTAGTTCTTTTAAGTAACAGGATTATGAAAAAAAGAGGACAAGCCACCTTTCGCCAAAACATTCACAGATCAGATTTTCATACTAAAGTTAAGTATCATAAACAGTATGTTCACCCATGAAATCAACACAGCACTTTTCATCTTTGTCTTAACAGCTGACCTCTCAGCCCTGGTTTCAAACAGGAGACAAGTTCAAGGATCTCTACATTTGCAACTAGATTAAAGCTATAATCATAGTACAATTCTGAGTTCATGTTTATTTGCTCATTCAACATTCAGGATTTGTCGAGCATTTACTATGTGTCAAGGGCCCTGGTGGTGCAGAGGTTAAGCACTTGATTGCTAACTGAATGATCAGCGGTTCAAACCCACCAGATACTCCATGGAAGAAAGATGTGGCAATCTGCTTCCGTAAAAATTACAGCCTTGGAAACCCCACAGGTCAGTTCTACTCTGTCCTATTAGGGTCACTGAGTCAGAATGAACTTGATGGCAATGTGTTACTACGTGTCAGGCACTATTTTGGGCACTGGGATTTGAAAATGATCATAAAAATGAAATAACTTCTCAATATTCTTCTGGACCAAATAAATTTAAAATAAACTAACTGCAATTATTCTACTTACAGATTGTTAAATGAAAATGCACCCATTCCTCACTTAATGACAATGGTTAGGTTCCAAAGACTAGGTCACCACGCAAAAACTAACATTATGCAGTAATGGAGGATGACTATATCAGTACATAACTGCCAAATTATATCATTACGTAACTATGAAACCATTCAGAATCATGACCCAGTCACGGTGATACAACCTTAACCATCAAAGCCAGCGTGACTCTCACTTCAGCATTCATGACTGCCAGACTTATGTCCTTAAAGTGCAAAATAGTCAAATAATTAGCTTTTTTGCTGTTGTCATAAACATAGATAAATAGATTTTTTTGGGGGGGGGGGCATAAATACAAAATGACAGAAACCAAACAGTCTGTAAGTGGGTAGGTATACAATGTCTTGGACATTTCCCCTCCAAGAGAATTGTTACATTGAAATCTATTGTTTTAAGGATGCCTTTTTCAAAAATAAGGGTTCTAAAAGGAATCCTCATTAAAAACAAGGCACAGTTCCAAACCAGATTAATGGAAACGGAACAACCACAGCAGAAATAATGAGTGTGTGCAAGCACTGTGAGGAATGTAACCAATGTCACTGAACCAACGTGTGTGGAAATTGTTGAACAGGAACCAAAACCACCATAAAATATTAGTTAAAAAGGGAATAAATAAGGTACATCTCCACTACTGAAATATGATGTCATTCTCCCATAATCATAGGACTCAACTGAGTCCAAAGATCAAGTGTCCACTCTCCCCAGCTAGCATGGTGCCAAGACCACCCTAAATACAGACGCACTACCAAAAAGTACAGACTCTCTGTAGTCGCTGGGTGGTGCAAAGAGGTGCTTAATTGGTTAATAAACCAAAAGGCTAGTGGTTGAACCCACACAGAGGTGCCTCAGAAGACATGCCTGGCGATGTGCTTCCAAAAGAGCACAGCCTTGGAAACCCTGTGATGCAGTTCTATTCTGTCCTATAGGATCCCTCTGACTTAGAATCAACTCAACAGCAATGGGTTTTGTTTGGTTTGCAGAAGCTCCCTAGAACCTTACTGTGATGGTTTAATCCTCCCAATGCAGTTCTGTCTCAAGGGATTTTAACCTCATTGGTGAGAAGCTGGGCCATTAAGAAGCTACCTTTCCTAGAAGAGTATCCATCCCTGGGTGTGGCACACTCTTTTGTGGGGCTGGCTAGAAAGTTCCCAGATCGAAACCTCAACTATGCCCCAGCACAATGGATAGAGGGCAGAGGTCTCCACATACCTAGCCTGAGTTCTGACAGTGTTTGGGGAAAAGGCTGCTCCTGGCTTCCAGCCCAGTTCAGTATAGTCCTCTTCTGGAATCTGGAGCCCAAAGCCTACGGTGACAAGGAAGAAGGGCTTCTCTGCCTCTTTGCCCTGGTTCTTTGTATACATGCTACACAGGGACTTGGTGAGAGAGTTGGCTGTGGTCCCTAGCTTCACTAACCTCAGAATGTCTCTTTGCAGCTTAGAAAAAGGCACCTCCTCTGGGCCAGCTCCTACTGGCTGCCTTGGCTGAGTACCCTGATGTGGGGCCAACCACAGCTACCCTATATGCTGGGCCCACTGTAGTCCATGGCCTGCCTGGATCCCTTGGTGAGATGCCATCAAATAGAGCAGCAATCCCAACACCACTTCTCCTGGGTAACAGGAGGGCTAGTCTCCATCCCAACCCCAGCCAGCAACTCTGCTTCCATCTATTTTTATATACTGAGATTTAGTTAAGGTTTCCTTGGGACAAAGGACTGTGTTATTTTCCCAAAGACTGGGACAACCACTATTATTATCTTAAAAAAACAACAGTTGCCATCAAATCAAATCCAACTCTTGAAGACCCACGTGTGTGAAAGTAGAACCGTGCTCCGTGGCGTTTTCAATGGCTGATTTTTTGACGGTAGATCACCAGGCCTTTCTTCCAAGGTACCTCTGGTTGGATTTGAACCTCCAACCTTCCAGTTAGTAGCCAAGTGCTTAACCATTTGCAACACAGAGGGACTTCGTTTATCTTACATTAAGTACAAATTATTTACCTAAGGCCAGAATTGACTTGACAGCCGGATGCCAGAGTCCAGTGAGGGGATGCTTCCAATGTGAGAGGAAGAGGCAGCTACTGCAACTGACACCTTGGATTCTCTCTGCCTAACAAGTAACCCCGGATACGCACATCAACATCCTAAGGTTCCTATATTGTATAATCAAGGGCTTTGGTTATGTAGTGAGTAAGGCATTTGGCTGCTAATTAGAAGGTCAGTGGTTCAAACCCACCAGCCATGCCATGAAACAGTCTGAGTCAGTAAAGACGTACAGCCTTGGAAACCCAATGGGAGTCGCTGTGAGTCAGAATCCACTCGATGACAGTGGGTTTTATATTGTGCACTTATGCTGACAAACTCAGCATGTATGTTTCAGGAACACACTCTCTTCTGAATAAGTGACGGTGACATTTCTCATAAGAATCTTTTATTATTTCTTTTGATCGGTAGCCTGCACCAGTGTTAAGATGCTTACCTGACAGGAAATCATGGAAACAACTGAGGACAACAGTTCCCGGCTGTATCCACGTGAGGGGAATCTCTCCTGGCTTGGGCGAGCCGCAGACCAAAACGTCAGTCTCGAGAAGCTACAGAGCAATAGGAGAGAAAGCACGTTTTAACTCGTAGCATAAAGACACGGCTAAATGTGGTGGACAAATGCTGCCGGGTAACAGACAGCAATCAGTTCCAGGGTTTGCCCCAAACCGCTGACATACACAAAACAGTTTTACTGATTCAGCTATCCCTAGTCCTCACTTAATCCATGCTCTCATTATGACACATTGCTGTACAAACCTGTCACCTACAGCCAGGTTTTTTAGAGCCTATGTATTCTGAGCGACATAGTGCCTCCCTCCTGTGCTCCAAGTCCTTACTGCCTCCCATGCCACCCCTCTTCTCAGTCTTGGATGTGAATAAAGTTAACAGAAAAAACAAAGAAAAAAGGCCAGAGCCTGGGGCATCGGGCCACCAACCTGCGTGTCTGCTCCAGCCTCACCGAAGCATGCTGGGCACCCCCCCACAACCCCCCCACCCCCACCCCCACCCCCGGCCTAGCAGAGCTGCAGCTTTGCACCACGAGCCTGCAGGTGTCTGCAGACCGGTGCAGACAGGACATGCGCTGTCACTTTGCTGTAGACCCCGAGATTGGCTAGGCAGCAGTCCTGTGTGTTTCCATGGTGAACAAAAATTCCGGGTGGGTTGGGGTTGGGTGGGTTCCTCCTGGCTGTAAATCCTGACCCAATCAGCTCTGCCTGCAGTTTGAAATGACACACGCCAACCTGCCCGCGCAAAGTACGGAAGCCGGAAGTTACGGCAGGAAGGCAAAAGGAACTGCGGTCAGCGGCTGCAGGAGAGGGATCAGCCCCAGGGGCCCCTCTGAAACGGCTCCCGGAGCCCGAGGGGCATTGGGGTGCTGACATTCTCACACAAGGCCAATGTCCCTGTTCCGACCTTTGGTATCTAACCATGTTGGTAAGTCAGGAGTGGGCTGCATATATAGTCACATGAGGGCAGCAGTGGTTCCAGGGTGGAATTCTTGCCTTCCACGTGCGATCCACCCGGGCTTGGTTCGTGGCCTGGGCTCCCCAGGGACAGCCCCACCCATCAGTGCAGGCTTCGGTGCTGCTAGGAAGGATAACATGGACTAGACAGGAAGGCGCCATGACACACGTCTGAAAATCATCAGTAAAACCCTGTAGATCACAACGGTCCAATCCGCCGCTTATCATGAGGCCACGGCAGGGCCGGGCATTCATTCCATTGTGTGTAGGGTCACCATGAATCGGGCTGACTTGATGGCAACTAGCAACAACACTGGCTGTTCTGTTCATACCAGCAGAACATGATCATTACATCCGAGACTGAAAGAAAACAGGGCTTGAGAATTCTCCTTAGGGTGATCACTTCAGAATCTATACTGTGTGCAGGACTAGCATTTACATATATTCAGTAACAGCAGCATCAAGAAAAAGGCTGAGGTCAGGGAGAAGAAAAGTGATGATGAGAATACTGATGGAAGCATGAGCCCGGAGAGGTGGGCCAAGTGGCATCCTGACGTGGGAGGCTGTTAAGGGGAAAATACGAGCTTTTGTGGGAAAGCCACATTAACGTCTGCATAGCACAGGCGCAGGGGCCTGCAGCCGGTTCAAGGGCACAGTCAAAATCAGACCCACGTAGAACTTTTACCCAGAGCCTGAGAAGGAATGTCACTTCCCGTAACACCTGGTTAGTCTCTTGTCAAAGCACTCGCTTTTCTGAGAAACAGAAAGAAAGAAGGCAAGTCCTGCCAAACACTTCCTTTATGGTCCTCCTATTCAGACACTGACAAGACAGCCCTGGAGGGAAACATCAGGCAGGGCAGTTCCATCTAGGGCTAAGAGGTTGGCTCTCACCTCAACCAAAGATGGCCTCCCGTCAGGTACCAATAAGCACCCAATGGCTTCAAATGGGATCCGCACATGGAGGGCAAGAGCTGAAAAAGAGCCTTAGACTCACAGAGGAAAATAGCTACAACTGTGTGTATTGGCACTAAACCAAAAAACCAAACTCCCCACCATCAAGTCGCTTCCAACTCATAGCGACCCTTTACAACAAAGCAGCACTGCCCCAGAGGGTTTCCAAGGCTGTAAATCTTTACAGAAGCAAACTTGTCTCATCCCTCTCCTGCAGAGTGGCTGGTGGGTTGAACCGCCGACCCTTCTGGTTAGTAGTCGAATGTTTTAACCACTATACCACCAGAGCTCTGTGTGTCAGCTAGGTACTGTAAATACTATCTCATCTATCATCTTGAGTATGTGAGGTTGATGTTATTTTGTTCATTTAATAGACCAGGAAACCAAGACGCACAGAGGTTAAGTAACTTGCCTGTAGCATGTACTAGTGCCCCTAGGGTACCCGGAAATTCTCCGTGAGGTGGAAAGAGATGGAAGGTGCCTTGCTCTCCACTCTCCCACACCGATGGCCCTCCCTCCACCACATTATCTAAGGGTCTAATGCCCTGCATCTGACTACAGACTCTCTAGGATCAAATAAGGTCCCTATGTGGTGCAAACGGCTTGCACTCGACTACTGACTTAAAGGTTGGCAGTTCAAACCCACTCAGTGGTACCATGGAAGAGAAAACACACAAATACACAATCTCGCTCCACATGTCTTCACCCTATCTCAGCTTTGGCAGGCTGATTACTGAAGATCTCAGGGAAGAACCAGGCCAATTCCTTAACCTGAGAATTGTAAACACTGTGTGGACAAGGGGATGCACCGGCAGATGGCTCTCAGGACCCTTGGGACAGAAAAGATGGCAATGAGGAAAAGCTAATTTATGGTAGTCCTACATGTCTGATACACAAACAAGCCAAGATCTAGAGCAGTTTTCAGTTCCCCTGATGGAGAAGGAGCATAATAATTAAAATACTTTTATTTTCATACCACTGACAAGACAAAACCAAACCAAACTCACTGCTGTTGAGTTGAATCCAAGTCATAGCGACCCCTCCTTGGGTTTCCAAGGCGGTATCACTACAGAAGTAGATTGCCCAGTCTTCCTTCTGAGGAGTGGCTGGTGGGTTTGAACCATAGCCTTCTAGTTAGCAGTCAGATGCCTTAGGTACTAGGCCACCAGAGCTCCTATATTTCATCAATTTCATCATGCAAATAGAGAGAAGGGTATTAACCTTCACTGAGTGCCCACTAACAAGCCAACAAATATTTGTTGTTTTTCGGTGCTTTACTATATTAGGCAGGAAGTAGAAGAGTACTTCTAAATAGTTTTGCAGTGAATCTACTTTAGTAAATACATTAGAAAGACAAGAAATATTCCTACTGAAACAACTGCCCAAATGTTTTCTTGTGCTAAGCTACAGAACCATAACACTGTTAAACTAAACTAAGATGACTGCAGGCAAGATTACCAGCCACCCTGTCAGTTAAGCTGCAAGTGCGATCCAAAAAAATCTAGATTTTTGGGTGATGTCATTATTTAGGGGAAAAAGTTGTTCTGATGAGAAGGGAGTTTTTAAACATCTGTATTGAAAAAAAAAGTATTCCTTCTTTTACATATACCACTCTCAGAAATTTAACCACCTATTAAAAAAATCCATTGCCATTAAGTTAATTCTGACTCACAGCAACCCCACAGGTCAGGATAGAATTGCCCCACAGGGTGTCCAAGGCTGTAATGTTTATGGAAGCAGACTGCCCCATCTTTGTCCCGTGAAGTGGCTGGTGAGTTCAAACTATCAATTTTTGGTTTGCACCCAAGCACTTAACCACTGTACCACCAGGGCTCCTAATTCAACCACAGTCACACAGTCATCATCAAAAGAAATAAAAGTTTAAGGCTCATTGCAAAAGATCTGCAACAAGAACCAGCATTTTGCTATAATTTCATGCACAATAGCAAAAACAGAACATGTCAGACAAGTATAAAAAGAAGGGGAATATGAACAAGACTGAAATGTTCATTTTGGAAACAGCCAAGGAGCACAGGTTCACAGGAGTCCCCCTAAGACTAGTTTACTACATATGGTGTCTTTGCTACAACCTGTTCTTTTCATTACCTATAAATCTTGGAAATCTCATTCCTAACCCCCAACAACCCCATACCCACACACAGCTCTTAAGTGAGTGGCACTAATAAGCAACTGGGGGACAGTTAATACCACAGAGAACAGGAAAACATCTCCTCTCTTCGCCATGATCACAACTTAGATGCTAATTCTTTCTGGAAAGGAAAAGTGCTAGATGCTTAAATCAATAAAGAACCCACAAAGGACAAGGGAAGATTTTAATGAGCTCAAATTCAAGGAGCATTAACTTCCCACTGGCTGTTCTCCCTTTCCTCCTCCCAAACGGGAAAGACCCTGGCCAAAACCTGACTGGAAACTTTACCTCATAACAAAATACTGCTTTCTCTTCTGAGACTTGGGTGGAAGCAGCCTGAAGAGAACCGCCCATTCCCCAGGCAGGGGACCAAATGTTAAAACAATAGCAAGACACTGATATGCAGACATTTAATGGGGATCATGTGGGAGTACCATAGAGTTTAGATAACCCGAAAACAATTTCCTCTGAGTCAGTGATTTTTAAGAGGGAGGCAGAGGTAAATATGAGCTTGTGCAGAGAGAGAGGAGAGAGGGCAGACATGATCTGTAAAGTTACAATGAATACTGTAATTAGAAAATAAGACACATTTTTAAAAATTTAAACTGTAAGAGAAGCATGCCCCCTCTTGTCTAGAAGACAAAACTTATCTTCTGCTATCAATATGTCTCAAAGGGCACATAAGAAAATCTCAGGTATGAGATTTGTATATCAAAAGAGGGGACAGGTTAAAAAAAAAAAAAGTTCAGAGATATTTCTCTAAGGATCGTGGTTTATACTCCCTGAGACCCCTGAAATATTTCTCTAGGTCTTTCAAAAGTTTTCAACACAGTTAGAGAACAAAGTTCCAAATAAAGAACATAACTTTAAAATTCAGTAATAGGTATATGCTTTATCACCAGCAAAGATCTGCTTCTAAAATTACAATAACTAAAAGGAATAAAAACCAAAACCCACTGCCACTGAGTCGATTCTGACTCACAGT